GAAGACTGACATGGCGTCGATAACCAAAATTGCATCGAAAACCAAGCGGCCATGTTCAACCATGGTCAAAGCGTGCTGCTTCGATTGGGGTCCCTGGGTGATCTCGTGCAGTGCCAAACAGTGACTCATGAGATCATCGACAGCGTCACATCCAGCAAACAGCTCGCTGCTGAAGGTGTTCCTCGTGACCCGCCTGTGGCTGCGACACTGGGCGTCGATCAGATGGCACACCTGCGCACCAGTCGGGTCCACGTCAACACGGAGGAAGTTGGCACCTCTCATGCCGTAGCCTTTGTCTTCTTCCTTGCGAAAACCACTGTCTGAGAATGCCTGCAGCTGTCTACTGCACTGCATGGCTCTGTACCGCAAGGTCCGCGGGTACCGCTGCATGTGGCGAACAAGAGCGTTGGCGCGCCGCAAATTAATGATCGAAGCATCACGTTGCTGTCGCTGCAGTGAAACAACGTGCACAAGCATGTGAACCTGTGTGATCATGGCGTAACCAAGAGCACCCACCAAGGACCACAACATAGACATCTGCTGCTCAGTGCACTTCTCGTCGCCACGCTTCCCGCTGTACACTTCCGGCGGGATGGTCTGGATGGCGTTCACGTACTCTGTCTGGTCGGTCTCAACGGTGCCGTCTTCGTGCTGCACGTGTCGAGTACCGACGTTGGTATACTTCTTAAGGCTGAACTTGAGTTTTCCGAACACTGCCTCCAAAGAAGTGCGCAGCTTCTGCACCATATGGCTCTCACCACCCACCTTGAGATCGTCCACGTGCTTGCCGCACATGATGTGGAGCTCACCGTCAGAGTTGTGCCCCACCTCGAGCTCAGGGTCTCTGGAGATAGGCTTCAAATTCAAAGGTGGGCTGCGCGTGACCCGGGCGAGTTTGAGGCTAAAAGCACGCGGTGTTCCTTTCGTGCCAGTGGCGGCCTTCAGCGCCAAGAGCACCTCGGCATGTTCGTCATAAGTTTCATACCCGGGGATGAGCCGGAGTATAGCCGCAGCCCCAGGCGGCAAAGTGAAGTGGGTCACCTCCTGCTCCTCGCCGGTACACGCCGCGACTTCTGCAGTCGTGAGGCCTTGCAGAAAAGCCTTCTCGATGTCGATCGTGGCGAGCACCCAAGTCGGCCTGCAGGCGGTCTCACTGTTGATGAGACGTTGGGATTGCCGCGAGGCTGTGCCTGAATAGTTTTCACGCTCGTACGCGAAATAATATTCAAAGCCTCTCAAACACAACCTCATTCGGATGATTCGCGTCCAGGAACCGTCATCCTTCTGCACCCACTTCCATTTAGCAACAAACCTACTGGACATGATGACTTGTCCGCCATGTGTTCTCGGAGCTCGTTGGAATGCTTGGTAAGAGATCCATATTTTGAGCTCCTCCAGGATTGCTGCCCGGACCTCGGCGTGGCATTTCTTCAGCTCGTCCTTCGTCAGAACGTCCTGGTCAGTAACCACTGCCTTGCGCGACGGGCCGGCGACGTAAATCAGAATCGAGACGAACTCGTCCTCCTGGAACGGGCGGTCCAATGACAGCTTGGACAACTCCTTCGAGAGGTACATCTCGACGCCGCGGTTGCCGCTCTGGTCGATCTGGCTGTGGGTCATATAGGCATTCACGGGCAATCCGGCTGTGAGGTAATGCTGGTACGTGCTAACATCCTCCTGCAAAAAGTACGCTGGATGCAC